TATATATATATATATATATATATATATATATATACTGTATTCCGTCTGCCTTTCTTTCCTTTCCCTCTATCTCTTCATTTAACGTGTCCATCTCACTGTCACTTTCATACTCTCACACTTGTCACAATGTATAAACCTATCAAGAAAATACAATAAACCGTCAATTTAAAAGCAGATAAATCGTCGCAGAAAGGAACGAAAAAACTACTTATATTTAAAGTTTTCCAGGTGCAGCGAATGCGTTTTAAAATGCTTTGGTCGGAATAGCCAAATAGTTAGGTTCAGATCAAATGCCACTTTTGTGGCTGTAAAAGCAGCAGACCAGGATGAAGGTTATGAGAAGTACATAGAGGATTCTGACATTACCGTAGGTGAAGAAGGGGGATTAAAAACCTTTGATATAAGAAGTGTAAATGGGCTTTGAAAAGCACGTTTGGGAGTGAAACACTTGGCTGCATTAGCGCGACATCGTGTCGTTGATTAAACAGATGGGAGCTTTAGTGGTTTCTATTCTAGGGCATAAAACCGTTTCTAATTGAGGACTTTTCAAAAGACCACGCTTGAAGGTGTAGATAATTTAGTTTCATCCTGATACTTCTCAAACTGTGCAATCTGCACGTTTAAAGAATTTTCCGCGCAGAACTTTACTTGCTTATACAAAGCCATAACAACTAAGCAAGGTTTTGTTTTGCTAGATATTGCTAGATACATGGACTGCATCACCGTACCATTATCAAATTTTGTTTCAGTGGCAAACGTTTTGGGAAAGAATATAAAATTGCTACAGTTCTTGAAGCAAACCTCCTATGTAGGTTCCGCACAGGAATATATAGGGGAAAGTAAGTGCCCCAGTAATTCTCTGCAAGTCAACCTTAAGTTGCCGCTGCCATTCTTCGTCACCTCCGAGCTCTAGAAAATGACTACTGACGTCACGATACGACACGGCTAGCACGTGTTTGGCTCGTTCGCACGGTATACATTGTACGAGAGTATACATCATAATAGGATACATTCGAATCTGACGTTCAATGTACCTTTGAAAGAAAATAAGGTGTAAAACTTTCATTTCATTAAAAAAAAAAATAAAACTTTGAAACTCCCTCTGCTATAGTGTGGTACTGTGGAGCTACGTAAATTAACTAATTTAGCGAAGGTGGATACCCTGCGTACGAATATCCGTAGCTGTTGTATGGACCGTTACGGTTTGAGAGAAGGGTAAAGTAGTTGGTATAGTCATTCTCCTCTTCATATTCAGGAACTTCTGGCAGTGTTGGCAGATACTTTCTTTGCTTTATGACATCTAAACATCACTAAATCAGTTATTTCGCTGGGAAAATTTGAGGTGTGTTCAAAAAAGGCAAGAAATTTGTATTCTGCTTACTGAAAATGGTATCACATTTCAAAGTACAACATCAGAACTTGACTAAAATTGGAGTTGAAATCAGAAAAAAATATATGGTGATTCTGAGGCCTGCTGATCCTCAAAATGAGCTCCCAGAGAGTTGGGAAATCGACAAATATACCATGTAATGTCGCAGATAAATGGCAATTGAACAAAACAAACAAACCGTATCATCAGACAACCGTTACAATGCTGGCAGAAGCCAAATATTAAAACCCTTCTAGCTTTACCAAAAGTTGACGCAATTTAGATAGCATTTACAACAGCCATTCCAATTTATTTCAAATTTTTATGGGCGACATTGTAACTCTAAAAGAACTCTGTTATTTGTTTAAAACACACCCTGACGGTAGGCGTTCTACGACGAACTAGGGTTAGTACTCAACTAAATTCCTCAGTCTTCTCCGTTAATTTCTCCCAAACTATAGGCGCCGTCATTTCTAATTTCCATTTCGTGGCAGGACCAGAGTTACCGTAGTACGACCGGCCCGCAAGCTTTGAAATGCTGGCCACTGGTCAAGTTCGACGCTGTTTACCAAGTTTATTTTTGGTGTTTTGCGGATGTTTACCAAGTTTATTTTTGGTGTTTTTTTGCACCATTCGTTTCGTCAGAATCTTATCTAGC